CAAAAGACCAAAAATCATAAAAAACCTCACTCAGGATAACTGGCAACCTGGTTAAGATATGAATCAGGAACCTCCCAGATGCAAGTCTATGTAGTTGCTGCTGCATCACTTTGTTCAGTGTGAATGAATAAGTAGATGACTGAATAAATGGACCAATGAGGAGTTCTGTGTGAATGAGACCAGGTACTGTACAAAAGTTTCAGTTTATATGAGATGTGCTTGACTTTTGCTAAATACAACATGTCAGAGGTTCCCTTTTCCACAGTTTCTTTCCTATAATCTTCCTCTTTAATGTAATGTCCATGTAAATATGTTGGATTAAATGTCAATTTAGATCAATGTGTTATAAATGTAAGAAGGCAGACAAGATAAAATGTAGGATAATCATAAACTGAAAAAAGTGGACAGAAAGTAAAGTAGTGAAAAACATATTGAAGGATAAATTGCAATAAAAAAAAGCAGGAATAGTTTACCATCTAGTGAGGGACATACTTTGAAATTGAAAAATGCGTAAGATGAAAATATACCTATTTAAAACCTACTATAAGTTTGCAAGTGTAAATATATTGCAGACTGTTATCAAAGAACTTATTACTTGAATAGATTCCATCTGTGTTAAAATTGAGTTTTGTACTATCATCATGTGTGTACTTGTAGACACACTTAATCTGTAGGAATAATTTTAACATGTTCTTATATGGATATGAAATACAGGCCAGCATGAATTTGATAGTTTTCTATGATGCTTGGCCTCATTGCTCATTGTAATCTTTGTACATGGTACTTCTTTTTCAGATGTGATGGAGATAAATGTATTTCACTCAGCTGGCAATGTGATGGCCAGCAGGATTGTTCAGACGGCTCTGATGAAGTTAATTGTCACCCACAAGAAGGTATGTTCATTACCAGGACATCAAATTAAGAAGACTAGGAAATGAAGTCTGGAAACTACATGTTCTGATCATGTAATGTTTTTCATGTAAGGTAAAACATGATGAATGAAAATAGTGTGTAACTTGAATAACTGAAACAAATGTAATAATGAGTCTTACACTAGAGAAATAACCAAATATATTATATGAAAATTCATGAAACTCAAACATTCAACACGTTTATAATATATTATATGTAACAAACCAGTTTAATTTACAGTTACAAGTCAAATATCAGGAAACGACAAAAATAATGTAGGTTCTTGATGAAATTAAATAGTTGTATAATTTCAGGATATGCTTGTGGATAAGCAGATGAAAAAGCTTTATTGTACAACATGCTTTCAAAACATAAAAACACTAAAAATTAATATATTATTACTATTATTATTAATGTTTTGGTATGGCTGTTACACATTGCCTTTTAATCTGAGGGAGTAACACTAATTATGAATAAACCAAGTGGGGACTGGAGGATTTATAACAAGGAAAAGTATGTTTTATACAATTCACCCAGAATTTTGATGGTAGTGAAACCAGAGAGTTGGGCAGGTTATGTTGGTCATATAGGAGAGGCAAGAAATCCATACTCTACTTTCATGTGGAGACTTCCTGGAAAGCAGTAATTTCGAAGACCAAGCACTTTGGCGGATTACACTGTGAAGGATCTGTGGGAAATGTGTTGTGAGGATGGGAAGTAGACGGAACTAGCTTACGATTACGTCATATGTGAGGCAACGGTATTACTGATGTTCCATTATCAGATCCAGTTGCCAGATGGCTAGTTAGTTGTAATTAAACCAAACTGAACGAGATAATGTATTCCAAGTAACTACAGAATACTTAAACATTGATTATTTAATTTAGTATGTAACACAATGACTATAAAATCTGTACATATTCTTCCAATGTAGGTCATCATCATC